ATCCGACGACGAAGCCTCTGCAAATGAAACAATAGTTTTTCTTGCACACTCTTGAGGTGAGAAAATTTTCTCAATTTTTTGCTAAAAGTATTAGAGTCAATTGAGAATAATTTTCAATAATTAATTACTTGGTAAAATTTTAAGGCTCATTGGATAACACAAATTTCAGCTGGTACCATCTTTTGATGGGCGTTGTGAGGGTGCTATAACCTTTCTCACACGTAACCGAACTTCCGAACTCTGTTCTGGTTAATAGACCTGAACCTATTCTTTTAGGGACCCTTAAACTTAGGTGTTCCCTAAAAGGATAGATTCCTTATGTGACCAATCGCACCTAGATAAAAAAGATTGGTGGCAACTCCTAAAAGTCAATGTCTAGCGATAAATCCTCGGATTTAGACGTTATGACAAGGTTTTCTGAACAAATTAAACACAGATTTTGAAAGTTGAATGCTACAAATGCTTCTTTCCTCCTAAATCATACATAGCAAGCAAAATAAAAAGATAGAAGTTGGAACTAACAAGCTGCTATCTCAATGATATCAGAGTCTGACTCTAGGTTAAAGGTCTTGAAGTTGTTCAAACCTCAAAAGTAATCCAAAAAGACAAATAAAAAGATAGAAGTTGGAAGAATAAGATCAAGAAGGCCCCTATCTCATGCCTAAATTATTGTTAGAGACAACCAAAATGAAGAATACAAACTATGGAATTGGAAAATGAGTAACACAACTTTGAGATTATTGGCTAAATTAAAGATGTCAATATTATCCATATCTTATAAAATTTTAATTTTTTATTTCAATGAGACAAGAACGAGTATTAAATTTTAAGAAGAAGACAAGATGGATATGATTTAAAAATTTTTTTTTTGGGATGGATAATACAATATTCATATCGTATAATATCTTATATGTTTATTTTATATTATAAATAAATTTTTTATTAAATAATAGAAAATTTTATTTTAAATTAATTAGAACTAATATATTTTTATTTTCAAATATATATTAATATATATTTATAAAAAATTACATAAATGAAAAAAATGAAAATAAAAAAAATAACAAATTTTGGTTTTTCTTTTTAAATTACAAATACAAAATTACTTATATCCATTAAATATCTACGAAAATTGAGATCAATTTAAAATATTCATTGATTATAAATATAATGATTGATATAACAAAAAATTTAAAAATAAAAATAAAAAATACTTTACCCACTTTATATCTTACCCATTGATATCCTTAACTAAAATCCTTGGAGTTCGAATACTAAAAACGTAATAGTTTGCAAGGTGCAAATGGTGGTAAGAGAATAGGAAATATTACTTCACCAATATTTGCTACTCTATTAAATCATACATTTGGTCATTTGATTTTTTGAAATCTTTTGTTGTGAGCAGACAACTTTGAAAAAATTGTTTTAGTCATCAATATTTTCGAGTGTTGTTGTTTTAATCATTACTAGATCAAAGCTAACGTTGAATAAACCAAACAATCTCCGAACCAATATTTAATGAGTCAAAACTTGAGAATTGAGACTTTAGATCATAACATTTGTAATTCCCATTTTTTCTCCTTTAGATCTTCGTTTTTTTGTTAAAAAAAGAAAAATCCACTGTCCAATCTAGATACTAGGTATTAATAATTTGAAGGATAAATTAAAAAAATAAAAGATTTCAATTGAAGATTAAATAAACTTGTCTCTTAAGATTGAGTAACTTATAAATTTAAATACGAATTTTAGATTAATTAATTTATATAATTAATTTTTTATTTTCAACAATTATAATATTTTTTTATTCTAAAATTCAGCTTTTTTATATAAAAAAAATAACTATGAATTTAACCACTAGTGATTTTTTTTGTTAATTTATAAATAAAAAAAACAATTTTAATTCAAAATCAACGAAAAAATTTTCTCAAAATTAATTCTCACTTTTTAAATCATGGGAGATATACTCGTTCCGTCTTTAACCACAAAGGGAATTTCTGTCATTTTCCTTATAATTCAAATAAATAAAAAAATTAGTACCAAAAAGCAATCAAAAGATAGAACAATTGAACCTATTATAAGATGGAAATAAAATCCACAATTTCCACCTTTGTTTAAATTCAAAAAAAAGATATCATATTGGTGCCCAGAAGTCAAATCTGATCGGACCATACTGGTTCAACTTTCTAAAGATCTTGCCCAAAGTTAGGTCTAATTCGTCTGGTTCAAGAGATCCAAATTAAAAAAATATATTAAAACAATAATATTTAAATATATTTTAGATTAAAATTAAATTAAAATATTTTTTATTAATAATTTAAAACCTAAACAGAATATAAATTAAAAAATCTCTGTCCAAAGCTGTAATCTAATACGCCCATATCTGCAGGCTGAGCGGACAGCCTGGTGTGCGGACAGGTTTAATGCTTGGAATTTGATGATAGAAATTTTTTTTTTTTTTCTGGCTGAACTTAGTACACAATACATCAGTATAGTTGATGTACTGTATTAAATCAAGTTTAAATCAAGATATGATGTTGAACAAAAAAATTATCGGGATTTAAAAATAAAAATGTACTAAATTTAAAAGTCAACCATGAAATTTTTTTTTTGTTTTAAATATGTTGATACCGACCTATACCTATCCAAGCTGGTAGCCGACTCGACCCAGTCAAATTTGGCATAAATTTTTTTAATACTTTAACCAGTCCGAATCAATTAATTAATTAATATTTTTATTTAATTTTATTTTAAAACATAATTAACAAATTAATAAATTATTTTGAATATTTTAATAATAAAACTATTTAATTGATAGGGCCAAACTTGAACTTTTAAAATGCTGGTCCACGAACTTTCTTCACACTCTAACTTAACTTATGGTTTGTGTAACCTAATTAATTATAAATAATAAAGTAAAATTAAGTTACATTAATTAGATATGATATAATGATTAAATATAAAATTTTATATAATTTAAAATTTTGATCAAAATTATTTTTATATTTAATATATCAACATAAATTATGATATAATAATTTTTATATTTTTTACATATTTAATATGAAACAAATATAATATAAATATAGCATTGCTAAATATAAAATAATCAAACACACTTTAGGAAGATTTGCATAAAACCTTCCCAAGATTAGTTGAAGCAATAAAATTCAAAAAAATTGTGATAAAAGCAAACCTTTAATTATGAAATAAATAAACCAATCAAATTCTATCGGTTGATCTCTCACTATCAGGCAAAGTGTAGGCTCGTCACCATTCACCTGTCTTGTATAACATTTGCCAAAGCTTTTCTTATTATTATTGCTGTGGGTGCGGTATATTCTACTTCTCATTATGTTACTATTTTTTTTTTTAATCAAAAGCTCCTTAGGATAAAACAAAAAATCAAATTTGACTTAATATTTTTTTAATGAAAGGTAAGATTTAGGTTTCATATTTCTAACTGTTATTGTCCAAATGTATCAGAATATTTATCATATACTATGTTATATGAAAAAAAATTTTAATTTTTCAAGACAAATTACAAAGAATTGTTTTGTAGAAGTAAAACCAGTTGGAATTTACTTCTTTATAAAGAAATTAAGTAGTATCCTTTGCTATGTAAAATTTTGAACAAATAAAAATAAAGTTTTACAGTGTTTTAAAGAATTTGATTAGTTTAAATGATAAAGAAATGAGTTTTTTTTTTTTTTTTTATCAATCAACGTTCGATTCTTGTGATAAATTTATTTATGAGACCTTTAAGAAAATTAGAGAAAAAAATTTGGGAATATCTCTAATTGTATTATGAAAAATCTTAAGCTTCCTTAAATAATATTTTTTTCTTTATTTTTTTGTGCATAAATAATATTTTTCTCAATATAAGTTTAAGCATGAATTTGGTTCATCTACCATCACAATTATGTGATTTTGATGCTTATACTTTTATAAAAAAAAAAAAAATTTAAAGATAATTGATAACAATGTTAAGCTTTTATAATTAAATTTAATTACGTGATTTTTTTTTTGTCAATGATAGTAACACGCTAACTTGAGTTTTTTTAATCACATGACATACATTATTACAATATAGAAAACAATTTTTTTAATAAAAGATATACAAAAAATAATTTTTTTTACAATTTAAAAATATTAATTATTATTTAATGAAATAAAGTATTATTTTTTATATTAATATGTTTCATGTAGTCCAAAAAATTTAACCAATCTCAACTTGTCAAGTAATCACTAAAATTTTATTTATATCCAAATCAAAGTTAAATCTTAATATTATTATTATTATTATCAATTTCTTTAAATCTAATTTTAATTAAAAAATAAACTAAATTTATTAAAGTTGGAGTAGAGATTAAAGCAATAGAATTGAATAGTAGAAGATCAAATTCAAATTTACATTAAACATTTAATGTGAAAGTATCATTATAAAGTTTAGATTGGATTTAAATTAATTTTTAAAAAATTAAAATTTTATAAATTAATGAAATAATTGAATTAAATTCAATAACGTATTATCCTATTTTTAAAAAAATTAAATAAAGATAATATATTAATTATATATATTTAAAAATATCAATTTAACAACACTAATCAAGATTTTTTAAAAATAAACTTAGGAGTGGCCAGTACTTTTTGGACACTCTTTAGTAAATCAATGTAAATATAAACAAAGAAACGTCTCTCTCCATCTGTTCACATTTTGGAAACTGGGAAAGGCGCAGCTGTTTCTGAAAAGCAAAGAAACAAAACAAATTTATATTCTTACCCAAAAAAAAAAAAAGCAAATTTATAATTAATGGAGTAGAAAAAAAATACAAAAAAACGAAAGTAAAAACTTTTAAGAGTCGTGTGATTCCACTTCTCGTCTTCATCTCTTTTCCGCATCTAAGTCGTCACTGCTACAGCCTACTTGGATGTATTTGCCAGAAGACTATTAAATTAACCAATGGTATTAAATTATGGCACTTAAAAGGTAATTATTTTAATCAAAGACCATTGCCTTCCCTCTCACTTTGCGTCTCTCTACATTTCCCCAAAGAACGATTCTTCACTCCATCGGGCAGGCCTTACACCGTAAAGGTCCTTTTTTTTTTTTGTTCTTCATTTTTCTTGCAATTTGTCGGCTACCCATTTCTGCAAATCATCTAACTTGCATTCTCTGATGATAAAGTTTTGATTTTTTCCACTATTTTTCATGCAAGTTTACTCTTTTTTTTGTTTATTTTAAATAGTTTTTAGAATTTTTTTCCGGGATCTTCTTTTGAAGTGTAGCTGTTCATCTTTTTGTATGAGATGAAACGAACTGTGTTTTTTAGTGTTCATTTGTTCTTCCTGGTGTTTTGCAGATTAATGGCATTTTTCTTTGCTGAGCAATACAAGGAAAGACGCTTATGTTTTTTTTCTTTCCGAGAGGTATAAGATTTTGTGCGTTTACCAAGTTTATAAGCGTATAATCTGTGGACAACTTTACAGGAAAGGGATTTTTTTACCTTAGATTGGTGGGTTGGGATTGGTACAGAAAGCTGGTCTCTTTAGTACTAGAAAATTTCATAGAAGAAAGCCTCCTTCAAGTCTTCTCAACTCACCCTTCAGGGTTGAAAGAAAGAAATTGGGTTTTAGCCCCCAGTTTTACGCTGATCAAGTAGCAATGATTGATTACAAGTTGAATGCAGTCATCGCTTTAGCAGTTTAGCTAGAACTGAATTGGTTCTCTTCTTTTGCTGTTTGTTTTATTCTCTGAATTTATTAGCCTGGTTTTTTAAGATATCACCTATGTGGGAAAAGGGCATCTTTCCCTCAAGGTTTATTGTCTATATAATGACCATTTCAATGTTTCTTTTGATCGTATCTTATGTGTTTCTTCTTCAATTTGGCAATACATCTCTTATTCCTCAGTCAGTTTTCAAATTAATTCTTCTTAATGGCACGTCGGTTTACTTAAAACCGAATGTCAAAAATGAGCAAATAAAATTACCGTTCCTCTCATCTGAGTCTTCACAAGTTGATGCTCAAATACGATTAAAAAATGGAGAGTCACCTTGTCAGAAATCCAGTTATGGGAAGAAAATGTGTTCTTCCTGGCAGCAAAATATCAAGTCCTGCGACACCAATCAGGCTCTTTTAAGGGTTTTTATGTATGACTTGCCTTCTGAATTTCACTTTGGGTTATTGGGTTGGAAAGGAAAATCAAATCAGATGTGGCCGGAGGTAAATGATCCGAGTAGAATCCCATTGTACCCTGGAGGGTTGAACCTACAGCATAGCATGGAGTACTGGCTCACCCTTGATCTTCTATCTTCAAACACACCAAATGTGCTCAGACCATGTGCTGCAATTAGAGTTAAAAATTCAAGTCAAGCAGATGTAATTTTTGTGCCATTCTTTTCGTCTCTCAGTTACAATCGGCATTCAAAGCTTCGAGGAAAGGAGAAAGTTAGTGTTAATAAAAAATTGCAGAATAAATTAGTTCAGTTTCTGACCATGCAGAATGAGTGGAAGCGATTTGGGGGGAAGGACCACTTAATTGTGGCGCACCATCCAAATAGCATGTTGGATGCAAGATGGAAATTAGGTTCCGCAATGTTTGTGCTTGCAGATTTCGGTAGATACCCTACCGAAATAGCAAATCTTGAGAAAGATATAATCACTCCTTATAAGCATGTCGTGAGGACCACTCCAAGTGCTGATTCAGCCCCATTTGACAAACGCCCAATATTAGTCTTTTTCCAAGGAGCGATATACAGGAAAGATGTAAGTTTCCCTACCTTTTATGAATTGAATTATCTAAATGTTTGTTTCTATTAGTCTTGCCAACATGAGGTAGAAACTGCTACCATTTTATGGATGTATGAAACTAGTATTAAGGCACATTTCTCTTTTTTCTTGAACTTGATTAAGTTGAAATGCAAGTGACTTGATGAAAACATTGCTCAATAATATCCTGATAGGAATTGTAAGTAGACTTCTCAAGTGATTGTTATGCAATGTAAACACCAGCAGGTGATAGGCGAATAATAGGCACCATTCCATATGCTATTTTTCATCTAGGTTCTACTACTTGTTTGGAGATAGATGATAAGAATCATCTATTAGTTTGCTTTCTAAGGTATAACTTTTAGATGGAAGTGATTATTTTTTCTTTTTACCACAGTTCTTTGAAATCATCAAAACCATCTTGCATCGTAGCATAACAGTTAGCTTCCATTTTGAAGGTGGCCATTCTTGTAGGCTTAACTAATAAACGTAGGCTTAGATGAGTAAATGAAAGTATTAAGTGTAGAGATTTTCTTAGGTTTTCATGCACCATGTGCTTGTGATATAAGGGACAATTGGTTTGGGAAAGGGGAGAGAGGAGTGATGGGTTTGTGGGGGAGGACAGAGTGTGAGCAGTTGGATCATGTACTAGGCTCAGGATTCTCAAATGATTAATTGACTATAGGCAGGGTATCCTAAATCAGATAGAGCAGCGTTATCTGCTAGCTCCAATGGGTCATAGCACAGTTCTCCTATAAAACCTTCCTTTGTGCCTTGGGTTACATTAGGTAGAGACAGGGTACTCCAGTTACTGCAATTTTTTCTTTCAGCTTTAGGAAAAGGAATATAGTTCTCCAAAAGGAGGTCCTGAGTTCTGTTCTACCCTCCCCCAGAATTTTTCATATTCGTAGGGTTAATATATGCGTCTCTGGAAATATTTAGAATCATGTGGCACTTAAGCACTAGAAGATGAAATTACAACTTTTTTCATGGTAACCATAAGCAAAAAATTTGTTTCATTCATGATGGACCACAGAGGAAACTGATATGGAACAGAAGATAATGGTATATGTATCTTTAGCATAGTTCAAGTGCAGACTAGAGAAAAGGGAATGGTTCTTTTTAATGTGCCCTTTCAGTTTTCCTTCCTATTCTCTCAAGTTAAATCAGCAGTAACATTTGTCATTACACTTACTTGCGAATTGAATTTGAGTCTGAACTTCTCATACTGAAATGTTTCAGGTTAGATCTCTCTCTATAAATATAATTTTTGGTGTGAAAATTTTCTTCAGGGAGGAGCTATTCGCCAAGAACTTTATTACCTTCTCAAAGATGAGAAAGATGTACACTTTGCATTTGGCACCATTCAAGGAAATGGAGTCAACCAGGCCAGGCAAGGGATGGCCACATCCAAATTCTGCCTCAATATTGCTGGTGATACACCTTCTTCAAATCGTCTGTTTGATGCTATTGTCAGCCATTGTGTTCCTGTGATTATAAGTGATAAGATTGAGCTGCCATTTGAAGATGTCATTGACTACTCGGAATTTTGCGTATATGTACGTGCATCCGATGCTGTGAAGAAGGGATATCTACTGAACCTTCTTAGAGGAATTAAGAGAGACCAGTGGACCAAGATGTGGGAAAAATTGAAGGAAATTGTTCCGCACTTTCAGTATCAGTACCCATCCCAGCCTTGTGATGCTGTGGATATGATTTGGCAAGCAGTTGCTCGTAAGGTCCCTTCTATACAATTTAGAATTCACAGGGAGAACAGGTATCGCAGAGCAGCGCAAATAAAATGACAAACAAGAAGTCGAAAGATCAAAGATGGTTACAAACCTTGCATTACATGGAGATCATCAGATTTACATCTGGTTGTACATTTTTTAAAAATTTAATGAGAAGCAAACATGGTTTTGTTGAAAATCTGTAAAGGCCTTCTTTTCACTCTTTTATTCATTCTTAGCAGTGAGTAATTTTACAGGTCCATATTGTTTCTGATTACACTTCCATTCATTCAATTGTTCACAGAAACAATCCAAAAAAACGTCATCAGCTTATTATTTCTTTCTCTGAAATTGATGCGCAGGCTGAATTGAATGCCCAATAACACAGCACAACTGAGTAAATAAAAGATTTTGCAGAGACTACGTTTGCCATGGAGCCCATAATTTGCAAAGACTATTTTTAAGTAGACTTAGCAATTCATGTATTTGTGTTTGTCTATTATATGTTTAACATGTATAAAATATGAAAATTATTATGTAATAATTTATGTATTCATATTTGTCTATTACATGTTTAATAAATTATTGTGTGAAAATTCATATTGACATATCATGTACAAAACATATTTTTTCGTTTTTGAATGAAGAGTGCATCTTACCAAAAGGAAACAAAAAGAAGTTGACTATTTCATTGCCAAATTCAAAAACTAAAATCAAATAAGATGAGTAAATCCTCAGAAAACTAGGAAGCATGCTACATTGTGTATAACTGAAAGTACAATCATCCTTGGGTATTCTTCTATTGGTTAGGACCTAGTTTTATATATTACAAGAGAGAAAATCATGGCTACCAGGTGGAATTTTTGGTGCAATTCTTCTGCTCAAGCAAAAACTTCGACTGAAACAAATGAAAATGTAGAAAACCCAACAAACCCGCATGGAGAAACAACTGAGAAAGCAGAAATCCATTTGCATTTCTTTGCATCAGTCATAGCCTCAAGCCATCATATCCTTTGCTGACAAACTGCCTCGCCACTTCTGCCTGTGAAATGAAAAAACAATCTTCGGATGTCAACATCTGTTGTGAATGGGGTCCGATCCTTTTTTAACTGTTCTTTTGTTTGACTGATTGGGATCAAACATCATTGAAGGACCAGGTGCCAAATTTTGCCTGGTTTCCAAAGAGTCCACAGCAACAGCCTTGAGAATGCGTGAATTTTGAACAAATGGTAACAACCCTTTATCCCATCTGAGAGCAAGATCAATGCCCCTCAGGCCAAGAACCATCTCTGGTTGAAGTACCAAGAGAGCAATACAAGAAAGAACAATGAACCCTCTATTAACTGAAAAAACCATGTTTATGCTCAAAGAGGAAATACAAGAGAGACAGAAGACAAGAGGTATCTCTCCTGTTGGAGGCAATGATGAGAAAATTAACTATGTCGTCTGAGACAGCACCAGCCTACTTCCTATGGCTTATATCTGCAGGAATGAACCTGAAGTTTTGTCTTTTATGGGATTTGGAAGACTAAAGGCATAAAGCGGGGAAGGGGCCCCAGAACATGTAGGGAAGTTTTAGATTCACCTCAATCATAAGCCTGACACAGAAGCAATATAAAGGCCGTATTAGAAGACTCTGACAGGTTTGAACAAAAAGTTATAGTTGGAACTATATCCTTGGGAAGACAAGTATCTTGTCATTTTGGTTTCCCTACATCTCCCTATCATTTGCCCTGGCTCTTTTTTACCAAATAAAGACCAATCCTCTTGAAATCTCAGCCGACTTGCCACATCATCCGACCATGCTGACATTTACTTGCTCCACGTCTTCAACTATACTTGGCTAATAGCTTACATAAATGTACATGGGTGCTTCTTTTCCTTTTTCTTTGGATAGGTCAAGCTAAATACTCTCATATATTAGGACAAAGTAATTGTAACGAAGCAAGCTATATATATTTTTTGGTATATATCCATGATAGCAATTATATTGATATTAATAAATTCTTTGGTAAGTGCTCAGATATTTATACAGTTTTTGCAAATCTTAATAAATCAATCCCTTGAATACAGGAAACTATATAAACAAGAAGTTTTGCTTGGCCATGATAATAAAATTATTGAACCATTGTTGATGGAGATTGAACAAATTGATAAAATTCGAATACTTTATTTGTAAAGTTTAAATTTAAATTTATTATCAGTGATCTTTTTTAACAAATGATCTTTAAATTCAAAGTAAATAATGTTTTCTAAAACTTTGGACTTATCCTAATATGAAATTAAAAAAACTTTCCTTCTCCTTAAATTTTTTTTAGTAAAAAAATTATTGACCCATTAAGGATCATTTTCTGAATTGAAAAACTAGTTTTGGGTACAAATTGAGAAAACTAGTTCTGAAAATGAAAGGAAAAACATTGAGGTAATTGCTTTATTAGCCATGAGAACTAAAGTGAGTTTGGGTGGGCAAAGCAAAGCCATGAGCCAGCCAGAATTTCAGATACGTACAGTAAGAAGAAAGCCATTAAAAGTAGAGATGTTGGGAGAAGGGGTGAGGAACAGTAACATCTCCAAAAAAATAAATAAATAAAACCAATCACTTGCTTTATGCTAAACCCAACTTTAGAATTCCAAGCTCTTCCCTCCATGCAACAAAAAAATCAGAGTCTTGGTTCCTTGTGCTTAATGGGTTTCCTTTATGCTTTTCTTTCCTTTCCTCTCTCTTCTTTGGTTTACCCAACTCTTGCCCTCCATTCAAAGTTCCAAAGAATTCATCCCCATCTCAGGGCTTCTCTCCCTTATTTCGCCTCCTCTCTTGTCGCCCCTCTTGCTTTTCTTTATTTTTTTTTCTCGTGTATCCATGAAGACCCCTCACTCTCTTCAAATTTAAATTTAATTTAAGGGACCCTTACTTTAAGAAATACTTACATTAATCCTTTCTAAAACTTGACAAAACGCATATCTGTTTTGTTTCACGTAACTGCTTAAAATTACATAAAAAGTAACAGGATAATTTATCTCATCTTAAACATGAGATTTTGAATAATGCAACCATCTTCAGATAACGTTCGTAATTTGTGTTTCAAGTTTCAAATACGTCTTCGACTTTACTAGTTTTCAAGATAGAAGGAAAAAGAAGAATGTGCTTGTATTGTGTTGTTGGTTGGAAAGATGGGGACAGGTCGTGGTCCAAACCTAATGCACAATAGTTTAACATAATCTAGTAGAGTTGGGCCTTTTTCTTTAGTTGCATTTATAAAGCAAAAGAAAATAAAATAAAATTGAAAGGAGTTGTTGCTTTCCCAAACCACCATTCGCCATCAATCATATGTTATTTCCCTTTGATTTCCTTTTATTCACTCATCTGCATGCATCAGAGATGCTCTATCCTATCCATTATGATCTTCAAATATATTCAGGCTAAAAGCGCATATAAAATTTGGCATGTCAAAGAATATCAAACCCTAAAGCCATCATGGATTCCTGCCAGCAGCCAAAGCCAACTTATCCATGTTTGGAAAATGCTACAATGTCGACTACTTACAGAAAACAAACACCACTTACAAAATGGTATTACTTATTATCCATTCTATGTGTAGAACAAAAATCAAAGTCCAACGAAATTGCATTACTCGTCATAATTTGAATCCACGTGTTCTATTCTTCTTGAACAAATAAAGGTCGTATGGTCATGGAATGTTCAACTCTTGTGAAGAGAATTTTTTTTATTATAGTTTCAATTTGTTGATAAGATATGAAAAATATTTTTTTATAAATTTGTTAAATCATATATAAATAAATTTATTTGAACCGATTAAAAAAATGTATTAAGAAAGCTTTAAAATGAATTAAGAAAGCTTTAAATTGTATCAAACTAAGCTTAAGAATCACTTATAGCTAAAAATAGATATGAAATTCAATTTGCAAAAGATAACTACATTTGGTGGCGTTGTTGATTCCCAAGGTTGGTCCTAAGCTAATAGTTAGGATTTGACAACTTTTTTGTCTAAAGAAAACCGGACCCCAGATTAGCTGTTCCAGCACAATGGGTCAATTCTATCCCAATTTTGATTCATTAGGGTCCACCAATTATTAGAAGAAAAGAACTGATAAATTGTGTAAAGGTAGATACTAGACTGACCCTTTTTCATGCCAAATAACAGTAATTAAATAACATATATAGAATTAAAGATTGATTATAACCAAAACAAAAACACCACTAACAATTAACTATCTGATGATTCTTATCTAATTAAATGATAAATTTCTTTAAATTTTTTTCAAGAATGAAATGTAATACCAGTAATGCTGAACCAAAAAACAGTGAAAAACAGATACAATAGTACAGAAGTAGTAACTATAGAAGTCCCATTGAAGCCCGCAAAATTGAAATTTAAAAGCAATTTCAGAGCTCATAAAAGTGGAAGCATCTACAACACAAGAATGAAGAAAAGATGCAACATCATCTAAAACAGGACTTTTGAATACATTAGGATGCTGTTGATTAATTTTGTGCCACCTGATTTCCCCTAGGTACCAAAGATTTAACAACAGTTTAAACCAAGCTAATAGTCGCTTGACAGTAGCAGCTAGAAAGATTATAACAACAAAGACAAGAAACCAGCAAATGATGGTAACGAGAGCAATCAACTGGTGCATTCATCTTCATAAACATGATACATAAGGCAAAAACTTTTGCAATATGACAAGATTGGATGAGTTAAACATGAAAAGATAAGAGAGAGTTTTCAAAAGGAAAACCTGGAGCATCCAAGCAAGTTTGGAATTATATTCAACAAATCCAGTAATCCAAGTTCCTCATGCAGTGAAAATGAGGGAATGAGATTCAAGATTTATGTACAAACATAAACAGTGACATTGATGCCTTCAAATAAGTAGGAAAAAAAAAATCATCAGGGTTTTCTGAAATAACAATTAGACATACAACATAACAAATGCGAGGAACACAACCACCTTGTTTTCTTTCACTGCTAGTAGAATGAGTAAAACAATTTACCCATAGTTTCATTACTAAACTAACCCTCTTCACCACCATAGCCTCTTACCAGAGAAAAGGACTGTCACATTATTGAAGTGGCTCCTGACGAGGAGTTGCTGCAGGTCCTGGTGCTATATTGAACTGTATACCCCTGCGTTGCCCTGCCTGTATCAGAAATGCAACTTCAGTTGCTGCAACAGCCGCTGCTTCCTGTTTCAATAAGGAAATAAAAACATACAATTAATTACCAAAAGAAATTTAAAAAAAAAAATACAAATTAAAATAACTTGAACCAGCTAAAACAGCATGAGCCAATTTAGCTTTTGTTTATGGAAACTGCATGAATATGACAAGTCAACGCTACTAGGAGTGACAGAGGATATCATACACGGAAAGCTTTGAAGTTCTTAATTGAATTTTAACCTCTAATGAATAAACTTCCTACAGCCAAACAGTTTTGAAGCAATATCTTCTTCATAAGACTAAAACCTTATCAAGTATGTGGAGTACAAATCTCAAAAGAGAGACAAGAACCCATATTTTCAGTATTCTTCTGTGATCTAGATCAACCTCTTCATGATTAAGTAAAATAGTGCTGTTATTTTTTAAGAGCCAGAGCCATTACCTGTCTCTGCCTTCGGCGCTGCAATATGCTGATGGCCCAGGCCATGATGTAACATGGGAGAAGAAAGCCCACAGCACGAAGCAGGAAAAGCTACATAGCATAAAATGTTTCAATTAAACAACAAAACAATGTAAACTACTAGAATATTAATGCAAATTCTTGCCATGCTTACAGAGAAAAATGTAGTTGCTTCATCATCCCCATCTCCATTGGTTAGGTAGAGAGCATGCCTCAAAAGTAGAAGAGCCATTAGCTGCAAATAAACAAAGAAAATAAGATCCAAACAGAACAAGAAGAAGAAATTAACAGCAATTCCTATTATTTATTGGGTAGTTAGAATGAGGACAGGAAAAATGTTTTGTTAACTGAGAACCAAAGTGTGATTACGTTTGCCTCCAAAAATAAAAACTAGTAATTCAGGATTTACGATGCAACTCAATAACCTACATTAAAAGTCCAGAAGAGGCTGATAACTAGTACACTACCAGTTCAAAAAGAAATGGGCGAAAGAGATCAAAGAACACCACATTGTGTAATATACAAGACACCTCGATCATTGATAGTTGATCTATTGTGTGCAGAAAACTCATAAAGGAAATAAAAGGAAGTAAGGAACAACCAAGATTTTTTCTTAACATATGCTAATAAGTAAGAATAGCAAATGAATTGTTTTACTTTTATAGAGGAATAAAAGCTTACAATTAGGGCAGCAGAGCGGCAAAATGCAGCTCCGCTAGCATTGGTATCAGCATCTTCATCATAATCTGCCTCCAAAAGATGGCGTTCTGCAGCTGCCATTGCTAAAATTCGAGGGTCACTCAAATCCAAAGGAGCACCAGAGATTGTCCAACCCTCACTGTATCAATATAAAAAATTAGGAAAATAGTAAGTCAAAAGTGATGAGCAAACAAGTGAACACATCCTACAGATTACCAAACAGCTTCTCATATAGATAGATCCTCACAAACAGAAAAGGCTCTTAGAAATATCAAAGTTTCAACTGTGGTTACAAGACCAACATTGATAACAAAACCAAGAAAGAGAAACAGAGCAAAGATAGTTCATGTCTATATTCAGGGTAAGCAAGTCCACACTTGTGAAACTTGCCTGATATCAATTGTGGCATCCTCTGACTGAGGAGGAGGTGGTGGCGCAGTATATCCTGGTTGGTAAGGCTGCAAATCAAATATTTTTTTGGAAAAAGTTAGTAAATTAGCTCAATAATTCAACTCAAAACTAAGACTATATCAGTTAAAGAAACATTTGATGACTATGTTTGTTGTCCAAAGAAAAAAGTTAATGGAAAATTGTTATCATATGAATCTTCTAACAAATACTAGCATTTCACACATATTTTGACATATTACATGGTTTGCAAAAATCACCAACAGTTAGTATCATAGGACTATCAAATGCACCTGAATATCTGATAACATGCAACTTACATTTTTCTGTCATTTGAAAACATGCAACATAGAAATAAGCAAGTTTATCAAAAGCTTGATTCATAAGCCCATATTTGTCAGCAGGCAAAACTTCACCTTGAACCAGACACATTTTTACATCCCCAACACATAAAGCCAAACCTATGTCACGCTGAAAATATAAGAGGTAAATCAGCAACATCAAACCTTGAGCACAGAGCATTGTGGCTCAAATATTTGTGAATACACTCCTCTGTCATTTGAAAACATGCAACATTGATCAAGCAATTTTATCAAAAGCTTGAAGCATAAGCCCATATTTATGAGCAGGAAAAACTCCACAATAAACCAGACACAGTCCCCAACACATAAAGCAAAACCTATATCATATTGAACATAGAAGAGGCAGATCAGCAACATCTCCCATTGAGCACAAAGTACACAGAAAATAACGCTAAACAAGATGTTTATAAAAATCAATTCTTGCATACAGGTAGCTTGCAATCTGTTAATCAAGTCATTTCAGATCAAATCATGCTTTTCACAAGCTTGTTGCTCAAAGGTGGTTGCTGATGTACATCTCATATTCCACTTGCAGAAAAAAAAAATACTTTAAACAACATACAGGTCATGAATATTGCCACATCATATTCAATAGATTCACTGCCTAGGTGGCAGGAAAGCTTGACTTACGAGGAGCATACAATTAGCCAATTGACAACTAGGTAGATTAAGTTATATGAGAAAGACAAAGTGAACAATATAATATGTTCACTGATTGTTAGACTATACCAGCTGTCATTCATGCAATAAAGTAGCAGGTACTGAAAGCAACCTTTGATTAATTTTATTGTTATTTTAATAGAAGAAAACTGAACTTCTGTTTCATGTACTTAAATGGTTTCAGCCAAACACCTTGAAACAGAAAGCTTATCCATATTTCAAACATCAAAATTAATGCTTCTAAGTTAAAATCCTTTAGGGACAAAACTGATTTTACATCAGGGGCTAAAAGATGAAGCCTAGAACCACTCAAAGAAAGAACAAAAGTGCAACAAAGACAAAAGACCAGAATTTTCTTATGCAAATGAGATCCACTAAAAGTATTCCCCTAGGATGATACCAAAGAGCAAAGAAAAATATCCTTGAGCATTTAAGGTGTTGCTAGCTAAAGAATATAACAAACTATTCAAAACCATCAGATAAAACTACATGACAAGTCAACATAAACAAACAGGAAACAAAAAAGTAAAACTGCAAAACTTCCTTCAAGATAAGGGAGCCCAAAATCATGGGAAAATATAGCTACCATATGACTAGTGTTCAGTCTTTCCTCATCTGAAATTGAAAATTGCCACAATATAAAGGTTTTTTTCCCAATTTTTTAGTACATGATAAAAAAACCATGCAATCAGATAAATGTGCAACTTTAAACCATTGTTGTCAATCAACAACATAATAAGTGATTCATCAACAAAAAGAAAGGAAATTAAAATTGTTACCCTCTGAAACCAGACACTTTTTTATTTTCATGAATAGCAAATTGATGTGAGTGAAATGCAAATACAAAAAAGCAGCAAATTTCTTCCTCCTAGATGAACTGATGAAGATAGCAGCATTTCCAGAGTAGAGGTTTACCTGATGACAAATCTCACAGGTTATATCTCCTTTCTCATTGCACCAACGTTGAACGCATTTCCTGTGGGCAAACTGGATATAAAAGTTTGTCAGCTAAAGCTATTAAACCACAAAATATGAAGACAAGCCAATGAAACCACATCATGATTAAACAGAAGCAGTTAGAAGTAATTTGATAGTAACAAAGAGGGAAAAACCCATCAAGCCCTTTTACCACATCATAATGGCACTCAAGCGTAGCTCACATATATATTTTTCACAAAAAAAGGAACTTTTATAGTACTTAGAGCTAATGGTAATTGAAACTTTTAGAGCTAATAGCATGTCATAATTGGGCAGACCTGACTGTTTTACTGAATAAATTGAAATAGAAAACTTCAGGGAGTAAGTCTCAAAATGCTCCAAAACAATGAATACCTTCAAACTGCCACTGCATGCACAAGGTGTCTCCAAATTCTTAATGCTGTCCTCCTCCTGGCAGATTCGGCATTCAACTGTCTGGATAAGTGGATATTCTTCATCGCAGGAACTATATTCTTCCACTTCCTTAACATCAACAGCACAAGCATGTAGCTCAGCTACTTGAGAAGAACCTTCACCAGAAGAGCCTGCCGCATCAGCTTCTTGCATTGATTGCAAACTTTCAGGAGTTATGAGACGGTCCACACATAAAACCAGATGATCACCCATTTTTATCCAAAAGAAAAGGTCCTTATAACATACAACAATGCAGCAAAACTTCCCCTTAGAACAATAGGTGAGAATACAACTGCAAAATGTACTTCCAAAACTAACATACAAGTCTTTTACTTTAAAACTTAATGCTAGATTCAACCGTTTAGAATGTAATAAAATTCGAGTAAGATATAAGAAATCAAAATCTTGAATTCTTTTTTTAGTGTCCTTGGTAAAACCCCTCACATATGAACATTTCTGAATCTCTCTCCATTTTTCATTAATTTGCATACAGAATTCAAAATATTCTCTTTTATTTATTTTCTAAAATTTTCTTCCTATGGGTAATGGGCTGTACCCACAATAATAATAATAATAAGGAAACCAACTACCATAAAACTTTCAGCTTTAGTTATAAAAAATAAACTTCATATTTTGCTCAAATCTCCATTTTTTTTTCAATTTTCCACCGAAAATGAAAAAGAAAAAAAAAAGCAAATTATTTCCTTCATTTTCTCAGCAACCAAACAACCCAATCCAACCCAACCAAAATTCCCAAACTCAAAAGAGAATCAATTGAAAACCGACAAAAAAAACCCCACAATCATGATCTTAATTGAACAAATTCATAATTATAAAAGCAAAACATAACAGTATAAAAATTACCTGAAAATGGCGCTTGTTTTTTGGAGTCTGAAATGTTACTTTTTTCTCCTTTTGTAAAGTCTAAGGTCTTTCTTTTTCTTTGCTTGGAAATTAAACAAATTGACAAGACAAGGATTTTCTTTTCCCCTTTTTATATATGAAATATGATTTAGAAAATTAAATTAAAAAAATAAAAAGATAAGAATTTTTAGTATTTAGATAGAGACATTCAGGCTCGGTTTCAACGAAGCTTTGTAATTTGGGCTTGGTAACGTCCGTCCAAAGATAAGGATTACGTAATTTCCGTTAGTTTGTAGCTGTTTGGTTTTTTAAGGGTTTGTTTGTCATTGTGTGCAATTTTATGTTTTATTTTCATATTTTTAAATGTCTTATTTTTAACTTATTTTATTTTAAATTTATTGAAATTAATTTTTTATTTTTAAAATAAAACAACTTACTAAACAAGTTTTTATTCTTTTAAAACAATAAAACAAAAACATAAATCACAAAACATAAATAGTACCGAATCACCCCTAATCTTATGTTAGTTATAGTCGAAATTCCCTTTTAGGCCCTGCATTAAATTTAGGACAAAAATATAGTGGGCAAAGGGATGAAAAAAATTTCTTTTTGTATTTTTTTTATTCTTTAAAAACCTAGAATCAGAAACCGTTCCCTTTTCTAGGATTTTTAGGATTTTTTATGGAAAACAAAATTTATCTTACTTTTAGTTAAATAATTAGCATTTTTTATCTATTCCTTTTAGTATCACAAAAATTGCATCATAATTCAACACCAAATCTAACACGAACATAATAAAATATTTATTTTTAATTAATAAAAAAGTTGTTTGTTCAAATTACATATAGTATTTTGCATATTTAATTTTATTAAATTATTTAGAAGTGTTAAACTATCTATAATATTATGTATATATATTCGAGTAGGGTTGGCAACAGGTTAGTTGGGGTGGGTTTTTCTCGTCTCGAACCCGATTCTATTTTATAATCATAAAACTTATACTCGATCAAATTTTTTTTATTTTTTAATATTCGAACCTGACCCAAAACTTAATATATGCATAAATCGTATCCGACTCGATCTGATCGAAAATTAATAAAATATTATTTTTAAAATATAATTATATGATTATATATAAATAAAAAATTAAAATATAATTTTTAATATAGTATCGAGTTGGGTTGAATCAAATTTACCTAAATTTCGAACCTGACCCGACCCGAAACTGAATTTTTCAAAAAAAAATTTAACCCAATGAGATCAAGTCAAGTTGAAACCCGTCGGACTCGGGTTGGGCTGCCAACCCTATATTCGAGACATAAGATATAAAATGTATTAATGAATTATAAAATTGATATATGTTTAACATTATATAAATATATAAATTAATTTGATTAAACTACTTGCAAATTAAATAAATAAACATATTATGACTTTTAAAAAATAAATAAATATATTATGAAAATATTAAATAAATCGGTTATTCATGTGTTAATAAATATATTATAAAAATATTAAATAAATTATTTTATAGATATCACATGTTATTTAAATATCATTAAAAATAACATAATAAAATAATTCATTAGATAATTTTAAATTTCTCAAAACAAATACAAAAATTTTACATTCTCTAATGTCAACAAAATATGACTCACTCATTCACCTCGACTATCAATTTTCTCCAAATTATTTACCTTCACAAAATTTAAAATTTTTTAAACCAATCACACCTTAAGAATAATAAAAGATAAAAACAATGAAATGATGAGTAAATTATACCAACTTTGAAAATAATTTGAAACTCGTTCAAAATACAAATTGCTTTGGATTGTATAATATTTTTCAAATTTGAGAAAAGAAATTTGTTTAATAAACATATATATATATATTAATGTAAAAGTTATATATTTTTTTATATTTGAATCTAGTTTAAATTCATAATTCTTACAAGTGGTCATTTAGATTTAAAAATTTTAATAAAATGTCTAACTCTTACCCTAATATAAGTGAATCCATTTTACATATGTTTGTTAGGAAAATTTTACAATTTAATCTAATTATTGAATTAAATCTAAAACTTCGTTAATGTTAATATATAAAGAAACATAAGAGTGAAAGACCCGCTCTAGCTTTTTTTTGACCTTGCTCTACTTTTTTTTTCCTTTGAAACTATGTAATTTTAGTGCCTCTCCACCCATCACATCCATATTAAAGTAAATCATCCATCTAAGAAACCTTCATCAAGAAAGAAAAGTTACATTTAATTTTTTTTATTTAAATAAAAAAAGTGATGAGAAAAGATTTGTAATTTAAAATGATGGGAATTGGGTGGTTTGGTAAATGGAAAGCAATTTTTCTCCTAAGATTGGGAATCTGAGATAAGATAATGAGGCTAATCAATGGTTAGATAATTTAAAGAGACATATATTATGAACATTATTGATGGATCTTTTAAACCAACATTATCTATTGAGAACTTATCTTTTCAATAAATATATATGTATATATACATATATATATATAAATATTGTTAAGAACTTGCGAGAAATAATTGATAAAAAAATATTTGATAGTTTAAAATACGATATTATATGAAAAAATTAAGATAATATAATTTAAAATTTTAATAAAATCATATATGAATTTGATAAAGCAAAAAAAATATATTTCATGTTTTTCTGTTGATACGAATTATAATAAATGATTATTTATATAAAATATAATAAAAACATATAAATAATTAGTATTATACATAACATGAATATATGAAGTATCAAATATATCACAAAATGATTTAAATTGTACAAAAATATAAAAGACATTATTATGTGAAAAATTTTAGAGACTAAAAAAATCGAAAAGGTGATAACATAAATCTCATGGAAAAAAGGTAAGGAATTTTCAAATTAAAAATGAAAATTACATAATTTTTTATGCTGGATTTATTTTTATGTTAATTTTTTTATTGGATAGTGAATTTGTTTTAGAAGTATTCATAGACTAGATTAGTTTCGGACAGGAATTAAACATAATATCAACATTATAAATGGTATAATTTATTTATACATTTTTAAATTAAAAGAAACATTAGTTATTTTTTTATACAAAATTGATCATATAAATAAACACAAAAAATAATTAATTAAATATTAGTTTGTTAAGTTTTAGTTTGTGTAAATATATTATTATCTATTATTAAAAAAAAATACTATTATCAATTTTTAAAAAATAAAATCATTTGATATGTTACTTCTAATTTTATTAAATTTTAATTATTTATTAATAAATTATTATTTTGATATAAAAATAATTTTAATAATTTATTAATTTCTTAAATATTAAATAATCTAAAATTTTCATTATATAAAATTTTAATTTAATATATTTAGTGATATTTTATCTTTTTAGTATATTTCATTTTACTGCCATAATTACATTCAAGTGCAAATACATATCTCTCACTATTAATTTTAATTTCATCATTATATAATTTCATTGTTATAATAATTAATTTTATAATCATTATTTTTTTGATAAAAAATTATAAAAAATTGAATTTTAAGCCTATTAGATGTCATATCTTAAAATGAGCGCATGAATCAATTTAGTTAAATTTTAAATTTTAATCATTATTATTTTCAACCTTATCTAAATTAATCTCTTCATCCATTTGAGGTAATATTAGTTCAAATTGGATTATATTCGATTCGAATTTTTTGAATATTATATAATATTATAAATTTTTAACATCCGATTCGAATTTGAACCAATTTTTTATATGATTTAATTTGATTCGAATCAAATTTTATTAATTCGATTCGGTTTTAATTTATTAATTTTTGAAATTTATTTTTTATATATTATTTTAATGTAAAATTTAATATATTTAAATAAAATTTGATATAAAATAATTATTTTTATTTTATAAAAATTAAAAAAAAGAAAATTAATAAAAAATATATAATATAATTTGATTTATTTTTTAATTTTGTACTTTTTAATTCAAATTTTATTTAAATTTAATATATATATTTAATATTCAAACTTAATTTGAACCAAACAAAAATATTTATTTCAAATCAAACCAAACATTTTAATTTCAAATTGATTTTTTTCTCACTCCTACCGTCTATATCCTAAATTCGCAAGATTAGAATTAATTAAAAGTTAAAAAAAAAAAGAAAAAGAAAAATCCAAGCGTGTCATTCTATATAAAAAAAAAATCTAAGCGTAACATTTTAAGCCCTTTTTCCAAATTTCTACCAAAGAGAAAAAAAAACCAAAATCTAAACCCTCTCCGCTGCTGCAAATACAAACTCCACCACTGCCGCCAAACGTCCTAGGGTTTCAGCTTCCTAAATGGCAGAGAAAGAGGCATCGGTAGAGCCTTCCGAGACCAACACACCAACTGAAGACATGGATCTCGAAAACCTTAACTCTTCCGCCCAAAACCCCGATGACGTAGACGACGCCAATGGTGTCAACAACGGTGACTCAAAGTCGAAGCGCGGCAGAGAAGAAGACGGCAAAGAAAGCGACGAGGTATCTAAAAAACAGAAGTTGGAGAAGTCTGTAGAGGAAGAAAGGCTGGAGGAGAAGTCCGAGTCGGGTCGTGTCCGGCTCGGCCCGAAGGATTTCGGGTCGTCAGTCGAGATGTTTGATTATTTTTACACTTTGCTTCATTATTGGCCTACTCAACTCAACCTTAACAAGGTACTAATTGAAATATCTTAATTTTGGTTTTGCCGTTAGTTTTCTTTGATTATTTATTTATTTATTTGATGTTCTATTTCATGTGAAAGAGAAGAAGATTTTGATTTATGTCAGTATTACAATCATAGCTTTCATGATGAATGAAGAAAGAACATGATTGCTTAAGTTGTAAACTTTTTAGTTATCTGAAGCTTAATGTTGTAAAGGAGTTGAATTGCACTTATTGTTCATTAGAAGCTAAGTACAACATTACTGCTTGCTGGTGTTATTAGGTGTGTTTGGATGGAGGAAAAGCTGTCATGTTTTGTTTGGTAGGAAGGACGGAAAAATTTTAATCCAATGGTTAATCTACAAAGTCAGAAAGTGGTTTTGAAACTTAACTGTTAGATTAAATGTTTTTTCGTTCTTATCCTTTTTCTATCCTTCTTGCCAAGCAAAGTTGATATTTTAATGGAGAAGTTTAAGTTAGCTGAGCTCAGTCAATTGCTTGGTTAATCAATTTCTTGCATTAGTAGTTTTCTTGAATTCTGTTTGTAATTCTAGTGTTTGAATGTGGAATATTGCATCCGCTACATCTGGTTAGTGTAAACTCTACTTATAGTTGTATTGGTGGCTCATCGAAGAAACACAACTTCTTTTATTGGTCTCTTTCAAATTAAAATTGGCCTTTGCATGTGGTCTCTAACTTACAAACTCTTACATGCGGACCTAAGGGAGGGGAGGGGGGGATACATCCTATGCCCATGAATGCATGTAGATCTTCCTTTATATTTCTCGGCTTGTGAGTTGTAATCCACGTTGCTTTCAAGAAACCCACTTGGGTTTTAAACTCATAATTCGATTAATATGCTGCTTGTTTTAAGAGTTTAACCTTCCAGCTATATTTAAACTAGCAAAGCTGTAGACAATGATGCTAACTGATTACTGGCTGCATATGACTTTTTGAATTTCAAGTTCTTTTACACAAAATTTTGGTGTTTCTGGAATAAATACTAAAAACAATTTTTTTTTTCTCCAGGTGCTATCATTAGTGATTATTAATGCATTAAAATGCTTTGAATGCACATAAAATTTGTACACGTCAATCTTGGATTGTCAAATATGTTCCTTTGGCACTGAAGTACTTGAAATTTTGTTTAATATTATGTTCGTTGTTGACTTTATATTACAGTATGAGCACATGGTATTGCTGGACTTGCTTAAAAAAGGTCATCTAGAGCCTGATAAAAAGATTGGTGGAGGGATCAAAGCTTTCCAAATACAAAATCATCCAATGTGGAAAAGTAAATGTTTTTTTGTCATTAGGGATGATGAAAGTGTTGACGATTTTAGCTTTAGGAAGTGTGTTGATCATATACTTCCCCTGCCAGAAGATATGAAGATTAAACCTGATGCAAACAGGGCATTGGGCAGTGGGGGTCGGAAAGGACGAGGTGGAAAAGGAGGTGGACGAGGCCACGGAAGAGGTGGTAAGTCAAGAAACTAAGGCAATGGTAATTAAAATGGGGTTGAATTTGGATTCAACTCTGTTGTAGGTTCAAAACTGCTTTATTTTTCTTATATCTGGCCTCAAGTTCCCAACTAACGCATTTTCAAAATTTTGGATGTTGACGAAATCAACGATTGTCATTTATTGCTTTTTAATTTGTGTTGCATTTTAAGCATTGGGGTTAAAACCATCCATAATTATTTATCTCACCTGTTTATGTTTATGTTATATACAGCAATGAAATTAACAAGGTTTTGTCTGGGTTTGAAATGTTGTGTTTCATGTTTTATTTTTGCTTATAGTTTATGATTGAAATAAGTCAATGCTTTTGTGTGCATAAGTAGCGTCCATTAAACATTGCTGCCATTCTGATGCATGCATTCCGGTAGCTGCATGAATAAAATTTCTTATTGCAAACTGACAAGCTAGCTTTTTTATGTAATTGTTGTTTGTTGAACATTGTTCAAAGAGTTGCGAATGAATTTTTGTTTTTCCAGTAAAATAATAATAATAATAATAATAATAATAATAATAATAATAATAATATTCAGTTAGGTTTCTAAATTAAATTATTTTTTAATTTATAATCTTTTATTTAGGAATTTATTTTCAAACAAATTTTTAATTGTCTGTAGGCTTTTCATTATTTTAACGGTAAAATACATAAATAGGAACTCAACTTTAAGAGTTTACTTAAGTATTATCATTTTCAATTTAGTTACTTAAATTTGAGGAAATTGTTTTTCTGTCATTTAGAGCAAGGCAGTGCCACATCAGTTGTTAGGTGCCATGTCAACTGATCCAATTCTTTTCTCTTATCTTTTTTCATTTCGTTCTTTCCTATTTTTCATTTTTTTTCTTGTTAAAACTCATTGTTTTATATAAACAATAAAAACCAAAATTTTCATTTCCTTTAGTTTCTAATTTTGTTTTTACCTCTAAAAACCTTGCTTCTTTCCCGTCTCTCTCTCGAATCTTTCAATCGGCAATCATCATTTTTCCTGATTACTTTACGTTGCCAGCATTGTCTGGCAGCACCGATCGTCGTCGTTCATCGGCAGTTACAAAACCCATAACGTGTCTTTTTTGATTCCCCATTGTGAAGACCTCCATCACTTTGCCGAATGCCGAATTTCCCTTCCTTCTACTTTCTTTCTTTGAACTAGAAACCCTAACAAGAAAACTCAAACAACTAAGCTGAGATTTCAAAATACCCATCCCTACTCCACTGTGTTCCGTTACTTAAAATACTCAAAACCACAAATGCCAAAAATTCTCGAGAAAAACTCAAAAAGGAATCCCCTGTTTTAAGTACATTTGTTGCTAAATTTTTTTGTGAATTCTATTGTGAATGACACTTGATTGCTAAAAATTGTGTCTATGGATTGTTGTTTATGTGTAATTAGGTTTTGTTTCTTGTCCTTAGATTTTTTGGGTGAATTGATAGTTGATGCTTCCTGTTTTCTGTCTATTGTTGATAGAAATTGTGTATTTGAATGGTTTGTTTAGTGTCAATCAATTGTAGTTTTGTTTGTGTTGAGGCTTTCTGCGGTATGATTGAAGATTGAATTTGCTTCTCTTGGGGACTTTGTTTTGTGCAAATTGCTCCAATGATTGTTGTTGAGTTTTAGAGAGAAAAACTAAAGAGAAGGCAGCAAGAATGGGGAGGAGAGAGTAGGGAAAAGAAAAAAGTGAAAAAATTGATTTTTTTACTGCATGGTCAGTTAATGTAGTAGCTAACGGCTAATGTGGCATATTTGTCAACATTTTATTAGACATTAGCGGTAAGGTGACAAAAAAAGAATAAAACATAATTTTAAAAAGATTCATATAGTTGAGTGATTATTGATATATTTTACCCTTATTTTAAATATGTATTTTACATAGATAACAAGTTTATTGTTGCTAAAAAAATAAATAGGCATTTCAACTTATTCTAATGCCTTTTTCAGACTTGAGAATTTTGTTTAATTCTATTTTTCAATGTTGAACATATTAGTCATTACAATTAATAATCATCATTTATCACAATTTATTTATCATAATTTAAATTTGTGTTGATTGTTCACATTTATAAGAGATTTTTACATAATTTTTTTTTGTTATGATTGGATAATTTATAAAATTATAATAAAAAAGTTTTAAGTGAAATACCCATCATCATCTTTTCATCCGATGTGAGATGAAGGCATTTACCTCATTACCTCACGAAGTCTTGAACGAATCAGCTCGTTACCATGATTTTGATGATCATGAGTAATTTGCATCACAAATTTATGAATTCAAGATTTTCATTCAAATTTTAAAAACTTAAAATTTCATCTATAATTTTTTAAAAATACTTCAAATTTATCTACTCATCAACTATTACAAAATCACCACCTCAAAATTATGTGTATGTTCATGCGAATGTGAGTTTTTTCACACGAGAAAAAAGTGAATTTTTTTTTTTTAATTGTAAACATCTCCTTTAGTTCGGAGATAATTTATATTTTAAAATTAAAATTTATATTTTTTATTTATTTTTGGTATTATAATTAGTTTAGAGTTATTATTATTATTATTATTATTATTATTATTATTTAAAAAAGAAAAAGAATTATTTTACTGAAACTTGAAGAAGGTTTAATTTTAATTAAGTTATTGAATTGAAAATGTTCTATCGAAAAAGGACTATAAAAGAAAATTAGTTTAAAAGGTGAATTTGGATTAAAAATCTGATGTTGAAATTGATTAGAAAATTCAAATTAAGAAAACTTCTTTTCTTATTGTAATTGGGATTAGAGACTTATAAAAAGAGTCCATTTGGATCAATTAGAAACAATTAAGAATCGATAAAAAAAATTCAAGAGAGAGAATAAAAAAAAGCAAAAAAATTAAAAAAATTTTTTTTAGCTTTTTTTGGTGTTTTAGGTTTAGATAATAATGATTTTCTCTTTGGAGTTTTGTGTTGGGAAAATGAGTTGAAAAGAAACACAAACGGGAGGCATTTTTTTTAAAAAAATTTGACAGCAAAAATTTTGAGAGTTTTGAGTATATATATTTTAGATTTTTATTTAAACCAGAAAGAAAGGCAATCATCATAGACGATAAGCGTTAGCAAAGTTATAGGTTGTTTTGTAAAGAAACAAAAAAAAAAAAAGACAATGAGGTAAAGAAGCAAGAAAAATAAAAAAAATGACTGACCCAATTTGAGGATCCAATTCAATAAAATGCTTAAATTATAACTGGTTCCAACAACTAGTAAATTGAAGTGGGCAAGCACAATTACAAAGGCCCATGTACTTTAAAATAACTTGTAACCCAATTTATTTGGTAATTTCTATTTTTTTTCTTTTTTCTTTATTTCTAAATCTATTTATGTTATTTAGTTGATTTTCTTTCTTCTTTTATGCATATTTAAAATAAATTTTTATAATAAATTCATGATTCTTATCGGAGGATTTTTATGAGTTTAAAATTTTTAAATTAAGTTATACGAAACGATTGGAGAATTTCATAATGAAAATAAATTATCTTTAATTTTACTAAACGATTGGAGAATTTAAATCTCGAATTAAGTTTTACTAAATGATTAGAGCACTTAATAAATTTTTGAAAAAATAAATTTCCAATCATATCAAATGATTGAAAGATTCAAATTTCTGTTAAATCTTACCAAATTATTGGAAGATTTAATAACTTTTATTTTTAAAGAAGGTTTTCAAATAAAAATCTCACCAAATGATTGAGGGATATATATATCAATGTAAAATCCCACCAAACGATTGAAGGATAAATATGTTAATGAATCCAACGATAAAGTCTTTTTAAAGTAGGACATAAATCTCTATGAATACTCTTAAAGTACAAAAATTATCTTAAATTATTATCAAATGATTGGAGTAACTTTAAAATAAATTTCTAATATTAAATTTACTTGAAAAAATTATAAGCAAATTTTAAGGCTTGGATAACACGAAATCAAACTAGTACCACTCTTTGGATGAGCGTTGTGAGGGTGCTATAACCTTTCTCACATATAACCGTACTTCAGGACCTAAATCTAATTTCATGGATTAAAATCTATCTTTTAAAAGTACCTTAGTCAAGCTTGAGACTTTTTTTTAAAATGGAATAAATTCAGTTAGGTGACCAATCGCACCTAGATAAAAAAAAATTGGTGGCGACTCATAAAGTTAAGTTTAGCTATAAATTTATGAATCTATGCGTTATGACAATTTGGTGACTCCACTGGGGATACCTAGAGTCAAGCTAGTAAAATTGTTTTATCCAAAGCCTAAGTTAAAATTAAGAATTTTTCTTTGAATGTTTTATCTATTTCTAATTATCCTATATTTTGTCATTCACTTGTATCTATATAACATGACTTCTATACCCAAGCTCCATCTCTTAGTAGAGAGTAAAATATTTAAGCTTTCATGAAATTTCATGTCTTTACCTAGGCTAGCAAAATACTTTTATTCAAATTAAACCCTTTTCACTTGTAACCTATAATGGGCGATGATTAGAATACCTAACTAGTCTATGATGGATAATAACGTGAGGAACAATTTAGGAATCTTTAGAGTTAACCCAAACCACATGTAGTAAAACATAATAACCTAACCTTAGGTTAGAGCCATGTCTATCCATTATTAGAATTTAACCTTACTTAGAACATATGAGTGGACTTTTTGAATTTCATTTGTATTAATTTTATCTGAAATTTTATTTGATCTCTTATTTATTGTTAAGTTGTTGTATGTCATATTTTAATACAGTATCATTAACATATGCATTCATCCGTGCATTACAATATGACGAACATTAGCACATGCATTCATTTATTCATTCATACATTGTTGTACATACATTCATGTGCCATAATTTATTGTGTCAAGTATTTGATGCATTTATTCATTTTTGCATATAGGATCCTTAATAAGTTAGGTTTTGAAAATTTTTAAACATTTAATAATATGAGCATGCTAATTATGGTACATATAGTTCAATGATAGCTTGACCATCTAGAACCCTGCTCAAACAACCAACGATCAATACAACATTAGAGCCCGAGCCAGACAAATAAAATAGAAAAATACAAATCATTTGAAAAAAATAAAGAAAGCCCAAGAAAAACTCAAGGAAAAATTAAGTAAAATTTTAGAAACTCTAAACAAGTTGAACAAAAAGAAGGCCGTAGAAAAAGATGTTAGCCAGCATAACCATCCATCACAAAGATATTGTTGATTTTTTTAGTTATAGCCCATATCAGGCCCAGTCTACATAGGACATTCCGTTATAGTAGTTTATATTTCTTGTGAAGTATACTTACGTAAGAATGCTATCTACATCAAATTAAGGGCATTACCAAAGTTTTATGAACCCGGTCTTTATTGAAAAGGCAATAGAGTCAATCCAAGTCTCTAACTTGGATAATCCCAAAGAAAAAGAAAAATTGAAGCTGATGGTAGTTGAGT